GCATTGTAAGCTCAGCCTTTGGATGTTTTCTGTTGTCAGGTCAGTAGCTTGGGTTGTTTGTAGGACACCGTCATAGAAAGACTTTCAGCATCTCCTTCAGAGTACTGCATTGTAGCTTTAGTGGTCATATGTATTCATAGAACCTTACTCATGTATTAAGTTTATTAAACTCAGAGTTGTATTATTTTGGTTTTAAATTATATGTCATGGAGCTCTGGTTTTTTAAAATGTTATTTTAACAGTTAATTATTTTTATTATGATACCTTTAAGTATGTTTGAAAGGAAAATGAACAGGTTTTGAAAATCAGGGGTTGGCTCGGTATCCTAGTGTGACACTTTAGGCACAATCGAGTTTAGGGTGTTACACCTTCAACCATTAATATTCTTTACTAGTGAAGGGCCCCAAATTTCACTATAGATAATTGAAAAGTTTTTAGATGGTTTGTAGGGAGAAGGAAGATAATTGTGTTTTTTATGTTTTGCAAGTTGAAAGACATCACAATTAAGAGAATCGGGTTTTGTCTTAATGAATAAATGAGGGGAAAATTTTACAAGATAGAAAAAATTAGGGCTTCCTAACCTAAAATGCCATAATGTAATTTGGCTAATAGTAGGAGAAAATTAGATTTAACAATAGTAGACTGAAAAGGTAAACTTGAGTTGGCTTGTCTTACAAGAGGTAATTGTCTTCGAATAATGTAGATGCCACCAGACAACCTCACATTGCCAACCACTTTCCCTGAATCTAATGCCTAAAATTCACAACTATTTATAGTAAATTTAGTTGCACACTTCATTTCGTTAGTGATTTTACTAACTGACAAAAGATTGCATGTAAATGATGGAACATAAAGGACGAAGTTTAAGCAAAAATTATGGTTAATCCAAACTGAACCACTCCCTTTAACTGGTGATAATGACCCATCTACTGTCTTGACATAAGGATGAGAAAGTGACTTTGTAAAATTTTAGAGCAGGGTAATATCTCATGTCATATGATAGGATGCTCTGAATTTGACAATCCATGTTCCCAAGCCATTTCTACTAATCATAGAATCAAATGAAAAATATTTTCATGGGATGTGAAAATAAAATTGGAAGTACTAGTCTCGGGGAATGTTTTGGTAGTCGTTTGGCTAGAGTTTAAAGGATCAACTAACCTAAACTGATACCATATAGAATAGTGGTATGTGTAGAGAAGAAAATCATATTTCTCTTTATTTCTTGATATTTTATTGATAAAAATGGCACTTATATATAGGTTACAAGGAGATTCTAATCTAGAAACAAAATCACATAATGTTAATTACACAAAATCAACAACTACAATATTTGTTGAATCCCTAAATATTAGTAGCTAGATATTCCTAAATTTTCAGCAATCTGCACCAATCTAGCAATCTACACTAATCTACACTAGTTAGCCACTGAAGTGCCTCACGCACTTGCTAAGGTATATCCGAATATTCTATAAAAACAAGACAATTTTCATGTACACACAAGCATACGAGGGTGCCCATAGGACACACATATCAATCAATGTTACACAAAGGGAAATAAGGCTATCATAAATCAACATAACCAGCCGAGGTCATCCCTTCACCCATAATTATGTTGCTCGTTCTCTCTTCTAGAACGTTATGAAAGAACTAGTTAGCCTTTTATATCTATTAGCTTATTAAACTTCTCTATTATGGTCATTTAACACTGAAGGGAATTCTAGTTATATTGTCTCTATGGTCTCCAAGTATTTTTTGATTTTACGACGAGTATTGTTACTACTATTCACTTTTTGTATTATCAGTCAGCCCAACGTTCGACTCAGGTTCACTATTTAATGGAGACACTTTAGCCGCTATCATCATGCTTTCCCTCGATTCACCCTTGAATTGAAGGGACGACTTGTACGCTATCGTCATGCATAAGTAACTCGGGTTTCCCTACTATTGTTTTAGTGTCTAACAGAGACATAAGTTTTACAATGTCTTACTAAATAAAGTTCTTAAGCTTTTACTGAATACATTCGTTGTTCTCACTTATAAGTTCATTAGAGGACTTTTGGTGGTCTTAAACCCCTTCCTAAGCCTTTAAGCTAAAGTTGTGTTCCTTACCCAATTCAGTACGAGGGTATTGATACTAAGCCCTTTAGTATCTGTACCGACCCTTCAGTATCGATACTCACCCTAAGTACCTATACCAAATTTGTACTCTGCGATTTGAGAAGGCCTTGCAGTATTTATACCCTTACATGGAGTATCGATACTTCTCTATTAGGGTACCTATACCATTTTGGGCACCGATACTAAATCTAGCTACTGGAATTTGTGATGATGGTATCGATACCTCATTCTTTGGTATCGATACCCGACGAACAATATCGATACTCTATGTATATAGTATTAATACTACCTAGCCAGAAACCTTAATATTATTAATTTATAATATTCTTATTGAGTCTTCATGACCAGCATCCCATATCATTATTTAACCAATATACAACTCAAACTATTACTCATATAGGTTATCTCCTTCACTAAGGCACACAAGGGCAAATTTTGTAATTTCAGTCCATAAGGGCATTTTAATAACCTCCCCCACTCGAGCTAGAGTTTGATCTCAATCGATATTAAATTCCTAACTCTTGAGTCTATTTGACATCTTGAGGTTACTCAACCACTTTGTGTATTGATACCAAGCCTTCGATATGGATATCGGTTCATTCAATATGGATACCAATCCTCTGGTATGGATACCAGTTTATCTCGTATAAATACCTAATCTTCGGTATGGATACCGATTCATTCGGTATGGTATCAACTCATCCAATATGGATACAAATCCTCCAGTATGGATACCAGATTATTTGGTATCCATACCACTCCATCAGTATCGATACCAAGAATTCGATATCAATACTGAGGTTTCCATATTAGTACTACAACCCTCAGTATCGATACCAAGGGACCGATATCGATACCAGTTCATCCATTATTGATATTGAGACACTAAAAACCCAGTTTCACCCAAAATATAAACAGTATCGATACTGATGCCTAGAAACACACTATTTTGCTCAGGAAACACCCTCAAACTCACCCTAAACCCTTTTTCTAAGGTCTAAATTGATTATTAAAGCTTATGATAGTCGTTAGGAGTCGTTATACATCATTTTTACTCTAAAGTAACATCCAAAACATCTTTAATAACAAATTGAGCACCCAACCCCTACATACTTCACCATACCCATACAAGCAAGCTATGTTAAATGTCATGCACTACAATCGGTAAGGAAGAGTTATAGTGTGTAACCTTAGCTCATAGTTACACAAAAAAAATCTCTCTAACTTACCCAAGAATAAACATTTCATTAACCTAGCTCTTTGGGGGTTATTGGACCACTTTTCACCTCCAAATTTCCAACCAATGATTCCAACACAAAAAACAAGAATACTAGTTGTTAAACGAAAATTAATCCACAACAAAAATGAATGGAATCAAGGGAAGAAGCCTTTGGAACTCAAACTCTCTCAAAAATCTATGGGAGCTCAAGAACACTATTAAAGAAGATGGTGAGCTCTCCACGAAGCTTAAGGACTCTAGGTTATAAATCTTACCTCTAGATTTCAGATTGAAGAAGAAGATGAAGAAAAGTTGAATCTTTTCTCTTGTTCTTGTTTGGGTGGAGAGAAAGAGAAGACGAAAGAAAGAGAATGAAGAAAAGAATATAAAGAATGAAAGAAGCCCCTTTCTGGCTCCCCAAAACCCCACGGCTAAAATAGAATAAAAAAAATACCCCAAATCAGTCATATTTTTCCTAAATGGGTAAATTGCACTCTAGATCCATTTACTTTTAACTTAAGCTTAAAAATCCCCTTTTTATCATTCTACAAGGCTAATTTCTTACCCGATTAAGCTCAAATTTGAATCAATGAACCTCCATGCTATAATAAATCCATTAAATAAATTATTGGGTCGACACAAAACTACTAAATCGGTATTTGAGGCGTTACATGTCGGGTTGGTAAAAAAATCGACCCTAACCAGATCTGTTGCCATCCTTAAGTGTATATGGGCTTTGCCCTTTCTTTAGATCCAATATATTGCCACGATGCCACTAATATTCTAAACATTTAACCAATTTGATAAAGAGAGAAATACACATTTAATGATGGACCTGTGATCTGAACTCGACGGATTTCAATTTTATTTTATTTTCAATTTTTAGAAGAAAGAATTAGGTTTGAGTTGAGTTAGATCTGGTTTTTAAATTTATGAATTCAGATTGGATCAAATTCAAATTTAAGATGAAAATTATTATATTAAAAAAATAATATAATTAAATTTTATATATATAAGAATAATTGCAATAATAAACCTATTCATGTATCCTTTTCAACTAGATCTCTATTTTATCAAATAAAATTATGATTTTTTTATATATAAATTTGTGTAGAGTTTTGATTAAGTTAAATGTGGAATTTATCTCAAAACTAGGTCGGGTTAAACCACCCTAAACCCGTCAAATCAAGTTTCGAATAAAAGATACAATTTTATCGAACAAGATCAAATAAAAGATACAATTATATCGAGCAAGATCGACCTAAAACTTGATCCAACCCGACCTATATTCATTTTTATGTAACTCATCCCGGTTTTGAACTTGTTAACAAGATCCATTTACCATTAATTGTGCATATGATACTTTAAACATAATAATATTTTTTAATAAACCTAAGCCGAATACAAAATAGTATATTCTTAAACGTGATAATATTTTTAAACATATTTATGTTGAGAGTTTTTAAAATTTTGACATGTTACACATGTATATTCTTCTTATAATGTAGAACAAAAATTCGTAAGGGAATGCATAGCCGGATTGTGGTTTAAAAAACAAACTAAAACTACTTAGGTTCATAAACCCTGTTGTAATTTTAATGAAATTTAACAAATTTATTCATTTTCTTCTTAAGATAAAAATAACAATAAAAATCAATTGAGAAAACTTCTTGTTCTTCCAATTCCATAAAAGCTGCAATGTCCTGGATTTTGTTTTATTTTATTACCTCAAACCTTGCAATGTTCTAATGCTAATACTCAAAGTGATGCTGAAAACCCCCCAGCCACATAACAATGGTGGACAGGTAAAGAAAAATTGTCAAGCAGCACAATATATAGTGATGAAGCTAGAACTCGTCCGGTCGTAAAATTCAGGATTCTCGCGTTTTTAATCGTTCAACTATCCTCAAGATGGTTACAAGGCAGGTTTTAGAATGCTGACAAAACATACAGGTAACCATTATGCAGTTCGAAACTGACCTTGGGGAGAACGAGAACTGGTTGTGGAGAAGTCCGGTGAAGCCATTGGAATGGATATTGATAGCTGGGTTTCAGAAAACGAGTTCTGGTTGGATATCTTGTCTTCGAGAGCTGACCAAGAGTCTCTGGTTTCAGGCCACTCGTCGAAGAATGGTCGAAGAGATTGACCCTCTTGTTTCGCAGGTTCCCCCGAGTTGAATTCGCCGAAGAACAAATGCTGGGGGTAGTCATCATTTTGCAATATGGAAAGGTCGCCACCAGGTTTTGACTGAGGGAACGAGGATACTTTGGATTGCATATCAGGCCATGCATTGTCCAGTTGAGTGTCAATGTGCAGAACTCGGTTGCTCCCCGAAGCTTCAGAGAAGAAACTATGCTCACCAACCTCAGGCTTCATTCCTCGAAGATACCTGTGTTAGAATGAGATCAGTGAAACATATTAAGAAAATAGAAATGACAAATAATCTAAAATTTGCAGTCTAAAAGCATTAGCAGCCTAAAGGTGTTGGGATTTATGAACCGGATAGCAGAACTGCAGGGAAAAGAAAATCGGAGTTAAAACATAAAATTTGGAATTCAAATGATAAGAACATCACAGGTCAACTCTCATGCAAGTCAAGCATATTTGCTAGAGAAAATGACAGATAAATGAATCTAATAGTTATACACTGTATATGGCTAAAATGGAAAAGGGCACATGCTTTTAAAACTCCTAGTCAAAGAAGACTGCATACAAAATTTACAGGCAAAAGTAACTAGTAACCGAAGATTTATCGATCTTTTTACTATAGGCATAGACAGAATACTTGTACTGTCCATAGCCAACTTCTGAGACCTCACACTCGGGAATCCTTCCCATTCCCCCCCCCCCCCGGAAAAGGTTACGGGTAACAAAATCCTTACAAACAAGGTTCAGGCAAAATGCCACTAGTTCAGACTACTTGTCAGTCTTCTGCAAAGAATCAAACTCGAAAGATGGTCGTAAAAGCCACACAGTGCTATGCTATGACAATGGGAATTCTACAATGTCCTAATGAACATAAGGGCCCCGAACGTAGAACATTTCAGAAAACTTAAAAATGTTCAAGGAACGTATCCTATATGAAACTTAATATCGATTATTTTGGACCAAATCCTGAAAAAAAAGGTATCCATCCCACTAAGCAGAAGCCAAAAGAGTGGATAACTTCTCTCCTGTGAACATGTTCCCGACAATTTTTCATGGCCATCAGACAGCAAAACGAATGTTACAGAGAACATAAAAGCAAGAACAGAACCAAAAAACAAAACAAAAAAGAAACATTGTCAGCAAAGAACACTACTGGTTTTAACATCCATCTTTGAAGACACCAGGGCCCGGAACCCTGAACCCAACAGAAACTTTAAGAGCTTCTGCAAGATCTTTATTTACACAAATGTGAAGGAATCTGCAATTTTACTTCTACCACACAATATAATTGATATGGGCCCAACACACAATAAATTTCACTTCAGTACCATGCACAGCTGAAAAATTCGAAATTCAAAAAGTCACACTCGTTTCAGCCACTTTTAACCTGAAAAAGGGGTTAACAATCCAACCCTCCAAACACAATTATTGGTGCAAAACTGCACAACATTCACTAATTGTGCAGGCATCAAATTCCAGTCTTGGTTTTTCTCTATAATGTTCAAGGAATGAAGTTATACGAAACACATAAAACGAGGTTTACCGGTAATCTTTGCTTGGGATTCCATAGGGGATTGACTCCATATGATAATGAGAATGATTAGTTCCAGAAGCAGTAACTGTTTGTGTACTACCCAAGGCATGCAAGGGAAGGCCCTGGAAGCTCTCACTCACACCAGTGGTTCCAGTAACAGTCAATGATGTCACAGTAGATGATGACTGTGCCACAGTTTGTGATTCCACAGGCTTTCTTGAACGGTTACGGCCGCGGTGCATATGCCGTTCACAGTACTTGGAGTCGGGGTATGCATCTTTGGAGCACCGCCATTTCTTTCCATCAGTCCTCCGGCATCGTCCCGGCTCGGGATCCACCTTCTTCCCATAGAAGGAACAATACCCCACTGCAAATCACACTCAAAACTGTTATTCAGTAGTAGGGTTCCTTCAATATACAGGAACATGTGTGACAAAACATGTACAAACTATGTTCCAAGCTAAATTAAAAAATAACAAAACATCAGCAACAATGAAAACATGATAGATAATAACAATTATGTTAGAAAACAGTATAATCACAAGATTCAGAATATGAATAAAAAATGTAAAAAGGAAGTGATATAATACTTGATGATTAAGACATTACCACAGAAGAAATTGATTTGGCATCACTTTAGAAGAATATTTTGACAGAAACTATTCCAAAAGTAAAAGAAATTTATAAAGCTAATCTATGAAGAAGGTAATGTCACTGGAAGAAACCTAAAAGAACAAAAATGTTTGTTTATGGGTGGAATATGTATGTAAGAAATTTATAAAAAAAAAGTTATTTTTTATAATGCGCAAGTAAAGAGATTATCCCACAAAAGCACAAACCAAACAAGTATTCAAAGTCAATTAATTTAAGGAATATTTCTCAACGTACGAAACTAAAAGCATGAATGAAACATCAAATATCCATTCATCCATACAAAATAAACAATAAAAACCCTTTAAAAGGGGAAGCCATTTTTTAAAATGAAAAAACAAATCTGTATGGTTTTAAAAATAAACAGATCAATACATAAAAAAAAATCCCAATTTTTGAAACTAGAAAACAACAGCATAGTGAAAAAAGATTCCTCAAATCAAAACAAAACTCTTCTGAATAGGGGAAAAATCTCAGAACAAGGAAAATAATAACAGTAAAAGAGAGAGAGAGGAAGAGGGGGTAAATGAAGTAAGAAAATCATTTTGAGCTTACTGGTGGGGTGGTGAAATAACCTATGAGAAATGGACCCAAAGCTCTTCTGAATAGGGAGCACAAGATCAGGTGGCACAGGCAAACCTGCCATCATATACTTAAAGATCAAAGCTTGATGCTCCAGTTCTTGGTATTGTGACACTGTAAACGGTGATGACCTTATTGCCATCATCCCGCCACCACCACCGCCGCCTCCACCGCCACTGTTCATCTCCAACACCACCCAAGAAATTTTTAATTGAAACAAATCAATCGTAACAAAATAAAAAGAAGAAGACGATGAAGACGGAGAAGAAGAAGAAGAAAACCCACTCTTTTTTTTCTAACTTCAAAAGCCTTCTAAAACATGTTCATTTAAGAATAGGAAGTAGAAAAACATGGGGACATAGATCAACAAGAACTTCTATCTTACAACATACTTTCTTCTTCCTTCTATTACCAAGTCTCTTAGCTATCTATTTGTTTATATATATATATATATATCAGCTTTTTGCTTTGCTTTTGCTTGCTTCGTTTTGTGTCAAGGAAAAAGGGGAACAGAGTGTCTCAGAAGGAATCCTTAAAGCCCAAGTTTGGTCAACTTTAATGGGGGAAGACAAAACCCTTTTTCCATTAATAATGATGTTTAGGGTTAATTATTGGCTAATAACTCTATGGTTACACTAATAAATATAGTTAAATCCAATTAGCTAAGTGTAGGGTTAATTTCATTGGATAAATTTAATGGTAATAAAGGAGGGGTCGAGTTCCTAAGAGGACACGGGTGTGCCTGAACCAGATGTCCAGAGATGATGTGTTTATTGTTGTTGGGAAGAGGTTGTGTTGTCTTAAGATGAAGTGATGTATGAGACGCCCGGTAACCAGTCAAATGTGGATAAACAGAAACTAGGCGTACTTTCATCGTAGAGTGTAAGGAAAAGCAGTCATTATTATATATATAAAAAAACCCATAAATTATTTTTTTTGAATAATACTTCTCTTAAAATATTTATTAGAAAAATGTCCTCAAATTTTTTGAGACAAAGTTAGTTAATATTAGAAAAATAAATGTATGAAATTCTTTTTTTATAAAACGTGAGGTTTGATTTCATATTTTACAGAATACGAGATTATCTTACATTTAAAAGTATTTTTTTAATAAATCTACTAAAAGAATTATTTTTAAAAAAATTAATTATTGAGGATTTTTAATGTAATAACGTCGGAAAGCAAGCCTAATTTAAAATCAAGAAAAGATTTATTTGAAAATGGTGATTAGACATAATTTAAAATATTAACTTTTTAATATTTTTTATTAGAAACCTTTTTCTAACATTTTAAATTAATAACCAAAAATATTATCTTCTTTATAATATTTTTGGTTCAACCAAAAATATTAAAAATTTAACATTTTAAGTTTTACTCAACTAAAAATATTCAGTAGCACATTTTCTTAGTTAAAAATTATATTGCCATACGACAGAACAACTCATACCTTTACCAATTTTATTTCATAACTTATCTTTTACTAAATAGACAAATTTTTTAATATCCATATTTAATTTATTTATTAATTATTTTAGAATGAGTTTTACTGAAATTTATTATGAGATTAATTCTCTCAATTCAAGATATGCTATTTAATTTTTCTAAAGATTTATGGTTGGTAAACTGACACATTTTTTAGGAGGTAATTTTAAAACAAAGTACTTTTTTAATTCTTTACTTGTAGAATGAATAAAATTGTTATAATAATGGTAAGTTTATTCGCATGCAGATGAAATTTTAAAATTAACTATTTGAACTATTTAAGAAATGGTATTATAAATTCCGATCTGGTCAGGATTTATTTTAAATCAGGTTCTGGTCGGGTCGGATTTGATTTTTTTTAAAGGTGATATTCGGGTCGGTCGGATTCAATTTTAGGGTGAAAAATACTCGACCAACTAGACCTGAAAAATAATAATTTTATCTTATATATTTAGAAATAATTACTATAATACTCTTTTATATATTATTTTATTCAATTAAATAATTATTTTTATTGAATAAAAATATTTTTTACTATTTCGGGTCGGGTTTAAATTTTATTTCAAAATATCGAGTCGAGTTCGGGTCAGATAGAGGGTATATATTATCCGGGTCGGGTGGAATTTCGAGTGAAAGAGTTATTATTCTCAGGTCAGATCGAGTAGACCAAAAATCTGACCTAACCCGACCTACAACCATATTTAAATAAAATACAATGCTCTTTTAGTGTCAGGACGTGCGTTTTAATAGGTAAGGACCTACTACACCTTTAAATTGGACCTTTTGATATTTAATTAAAAAATATTTTTTTAATGACACCTAATCACAATTATAATTTTTTACACAAAATTAAGATATATTTTATCATCTACATCTTTTAAATAAAGGTAGTTCTATCTAATGATAAATTAATTTAGGGTCAAGAAACAATAGAGAATGAGCGTAATAAAAAATATTATAAAAATATAATATTTTCGATTGGACGTAACTTAAGATATTAATTTATTTTTTATTTTTTAAGCATTTTTAATTGAATAAAAAATGTTATAAAAAAGATAATATAATTATTTAAACTGAAAATATGATGCATGGGGATCCGAGACAGATGATGCTGAGCTGTCAATATGCACCTTGATGGCGCTGAGATACCATGAGTTGGCAGATCAGCGAAAAGGCGGGAGTTGATTGTGATATGTTTCTCATTGGGGCCGTTTTGAGTGCGTTTCAGTCTTTTGGCCATAACTTTGGCTACGGGTGTCGGAATCGCGCATAAGACCCCAATTCAGAAAGCCTCCATGTGACCTTTTTTCTACCTCAAATTCTGTCGTTTTCCCCTCCGAATTACTAGTTTTATTTATTTTTTTTTACTATTTATGGTAATATTTCGTTTGTCAGTTAGGAAGTCAATTTAAATCTGATCTGGACAAGATTTTTTGCATATTGTTTATTTTATTTTGAATTTCAATTTAGAGTGATTTTCAGGATTTTTCTATTTTTGGTAAAATTCGGATAAACATGATTTTTGGTTATAACAGTCCGACTTATGGAATGATTTTTGTATTATTTGATTTTATAATATTTCGTTAAACCCTAGATACTTGTTTTCTCTGATTTTGGGTGAATTTTCTCTTGTGAATCATCTGTTGGAACCAGCCTACAGGATAATCGCTATCCTGTCCGTTGTCAGTTGGCATCAGAGCTTCAACATCTTCTTGGGAAATTTCACTAGTGTCAATGGCTGGAGGTCGTGGTCGTGACCGTCGTGAGCAGGTTCCGAATGAGGAAGCCCAATGTCGTGATCGCAGCGTTTAGGATGCGATGATTGCGGATTTGCAGAGACAAGTCGCAGAATTAACCCAGCGCCTGGCGGCGTAGGATTTTGAGGATCGTGAGGCCTCTGATCACGATACTAATTCAACTTTCGAAAACCCATATAATAATCGTGCTCTATTCCGAGAGCACCGTGGTCGGGAGGAGCGTCATGGAGACCTCGGTTTTCGGGTCGATCTCCTTGAGTTTTCTAGTACGTTACAAGCCGAGGGATTCGTGGATTGGATTAATTAAGTGGAGCGTATTTTTTATTATAAGGAAGTCCCCGATCGTGCGAAAGTGAAAATGATCGCCATCAAACTCAAGGGCAGAGCATCTGCGTGGTGGGAGCAATTGCGACGTTCACGAGACAGGCAGGGCAAGGCCAAGATCACTGATTGAGAGAAGATGAAGAAAAAGATGAATGGTTATTTCCTTCCCTTCGGCTACACGAAAACCTTGTTTCAGCGACTTCATACGTTGAGGCAGGGTGCACGATCAGTCGATGATTACACGGAGGAGTTTTACCAATTGGTCGCCCGGAACGATTTATCTGAGATGGAGGAGCAGATAGTGGCGCGGTATTTGGGGGGTTTACGCCATCCCTTGCAAGATGTCCTCAGCCTTCATTCATTGTGGAGTGTTTCAGAAGCTTACCAGCGTGCACTTGTTGTTGAAAAACAGCAAAACAGGAGACCAGTGATTAGGAGCAATCACAACAGTCGACCAGTTCGCCCTCAGGATTCCCGTCCTACTCAGCAGCCACCGCAGGGTAATTCTAACCCTACTATTAAATGTTTTCGTTGTGGTGAACAAGGGCATAGGGCGACTGATTGCAGGAAGCCTGGTAGTCAAAAGGGCAAAATTTTGTTGATTGAGGAAAATGCGGAAGACGAGACTGAGGAGATTGGCGAGGCCATATATGACGATGATGAGACTGATGATGTGCTGTATGAAGATGGTCATGAGACTCTAGTCATTCGCAAGAGTTTACTGACTCCCAAGGGTGATTCAGGGGGCGATTGGTTGAGAACCAATATTTTCCACACGACCTGTACAGTTGCAGATAAAGTTTGCAAAATGATCATTGACAGCAGCAGTTGTGAGAATGTAGTGTCCGAGGAGGTTGTCCAGAAATTACAATTGAAGATGGACAGTCATCCTAAGCCATATAAGTTGTCATGGCTAAATAAAGGCAGTGAGATAACAGTTGATAGGCGATGCCTCATGTCTTTTTCAATTGGTAGAAAATATTTTGATAATGCCTGGTGTGATGTTGTGTCTATGGATGCGTGTCATATATTGTTGGGTCAACCTTGGCAGTATGATCGCAGTGTCATTCATGACGGACGGAAGAATACATATTCCCTTAGCATCAAGGGAAAAAAGATTGTGTTGGCACCCCGGCGGGAAAGACTCACTCCTACCCCGGTAACCAATAATACTAATATGCTTTCTATGTCCAGGTTTTTAGATGAGATTGAGCATTGAGGCGTGGTCTATGCCTTACTACCTTACGAGAATAGTACAGTAGATGTGGATGCAGATTTACCAGTAGAGGTACAACTACTGCTAGCAGAATTCTCTAACTTGATGCCAGAGGATCCTCCTCCTAGGCTACCGCCTATGAGGGATATTCAGCATCAAATTAACCTTGTTCCTGGGTCAAGTTTTCCAAATCAACCAGCATATCACCTTAGTCCCAAAGAGGCTGAAGAGTTGCAGCGACAGGTGGAAGAGTTGTTGGAGAGAGGCTATATCCGAGAGAGTATGAGCCGATGTGCAGTCCCTGCCCTGCTAGTGCCAAACAAAGATGGTTCTTGCCGTATGTGTTGAAAGTCGAGCGATCAACAGAATTACAGTGAAGTATCGGTTTCTAATTCCCTGTCTA